TGGCTGATAAGTTCCTCAACCCCATTCTCCCTGTAACCCTTGATCCCCTTGATAATCAATAACCTATCTATCTCAGTCTTAAATGTACTCCATGACCTGGCCTCCACAGCCTTCTGTGGCAGTGAATTCCATAGATTCACCACTCTCTGGCCGAAGTAGTTTCTCCTTATCTCTGTTCTAAAAGGTCTTCCCTTTACTCGAAGGCTGTGCCCTCAGGTCCTAGAGTCTCCTACCAATGGAAGCATCTTCCCAACGTCCACTTTGTCCAGTTTTGGTCTCCTAGTCTGAGGAAGGACATTCTTGATATTGAGGGAGTGCAGCAAAGGTTCACCAGACTGATTCCTGAGATGGCATGACTGACATTATAGGAAAGACTAGATTGCTGGCCTTGCATTCGCTGGAATTTGGAAATACATTGAAACATATAAAATCCTGATGGGATTGACAAGCTCGATGCAGGAAGAATGTTCCCAATGTTGGGGAAATCTAGAACTAGGAGTCACAGTCTAAGAATATGAGGTAAGCCATTCACAACTGAGATTAGGAAGAATTCCTTCACTCAGAGTTACGAAGCTGTGGAATTCTCTCCCACTGGAAGCTGTTGGGGCCAGTTCTTAGATATATTCAAGAGGGAGCTGGATGTGGCCGTTGTGGCTAAAGGGAACAAGTGGTACGGGGAGAGGGCTGGAATGGGATACGGAGATTGCATGATCAGACATGATCAGATTGATTGGAGATGCAGACTCGAAGGGGCAAATGGCCCACTCCTACATTTATTTTCTATGTTTCTATGCACACCAGGATCTACATAATATTGCACCTCACATTAGTGATAAGAAAACTATTGGCGAAAATTCTGAAGGAGAGAGTTAATCTCCCATTGGCAAGGCAAAGTTTGATCAGAGGTAGTCAGCATCATGCCTAACAGATCTAGCTGAACATTTCAAGGAAGTGACAAAGTGTGCAGATGAGGGTCGTACGGTTGACGTAGTTTATATGGATTTCAGTAAGGCCTTTGACAACATCCCACATGGGGGGTTGATAAAGGAGGTAAAGGCAGGTTTGATCTACAATTAACTTCATGGCAGGATAGAGAGGTTGTTACAGCTGCAGTTTGAGAGACTGGGGCAAGGCGTGCACACACACACAGAGGTGTATATCAAACAATAAGGGGCCCAGCTATATATTTACATATATGTTTGCATATATGTAGATGAGTGTTTGGGGTTGATGATAATTAAGTTTCCAGTTGAGATGAACAATATCTTGTGGTTGAGAGTGAGAAAGAAGCTCTTAGGGTACAGAGTTAAGAGGGAAATAGTTAGATTGGTCAGATAGGCAAATGGAATTTAACCCTGATTAGTGCGCACTTTGGAAGCAACAAGAAATGGGATTAGTCAATAAATGGCAGGACATGAGGAAGCTCAGAGGAACAGAGAGATTGTCACCGATTGCTGATGGCTGCAGGGCAGGTTAATAGCTTGGTTGAGAAGGCATGAGATACTTGCTTTTAATCAATTGAGGCAAAGATTCTAAGAGCAGAGAGGTCCATAGCTATGATCGATCCTGGGTGTCCTTAAAGAGGGAGCACACAGAATCCACTAACACTCCTGATGCCTTCAGAGAGAGATGGCCACCGCAGGAAGTAGATACTTTATCTCCTCTTCCAACTCCATTTTGAGCTGGTCTCTCCACCTCTTCCTAACTTTTGATAGTTTGCATTGCCCTTAATGGCCTTTGCACATAAATTATTCAATTGGAAACACATGATGGTGATTTAAAGATGGAAAAATACTATGGGTGATTTGAGAGAAAAAATAGTTATGCGTAAGACCACTTATACAAAAAATACAGCAGGGAGTTACGTTAGAGCAGTACACGACTTTGGTCAGGCCACAACTGGAGCACCGCATGCAGTTCTAGGGAAGGATTGCATTGGAGGAGGTAAAGACAAAATTCACCAGGATATTGCCTGGGATGGAGCATCTTAGCTATAAAGAGAGGCTGGATAAGCTCAGGTTACTTTCTTTAGAACAGAACTTGAGGAGGACCTGATAGTGGTGTATAAGATTATGACGGACATGTACAGCTTAGACAGAAAACAGTTCTTCCCCTTAGTTGAAAGAATAATAACAAAAAGACATACTTTTTTGGTGAAAGGCAGGAGATTTAAAGGGGATTGGAGGGTGGTAATAGTCTGAAATGCACTGCCTTGGAAGGTAAGTGAGGCAGGAAACCTTATGATTTTTAAAAGGGACTCACACGAGCACTTGAAGTGTCATAACATTCAAGCCTATGGGCCTACTGCTGGCAAGTGGGACAAATATAGATTTAGTGTATTTTTGCTGGTAGCACAGACTCAATGGGCTGGAAGGGCTTCTTCTGTACTATATGATTATGATTACCTGTCACTTACCATTCATCAGCTGAAGCCTGGATTAAAAATAGAAAGTGTTGGAAAAGATCAGCTGAACTAGCAGTGTTGGTGAGAAAGAGTAGTCCAGATCTTTTAGAGTATGGACGCAGACTGCTTCATATCTGAGGAGTTGTGGATAACGCTGCAGCGAACTCCCAACTTCTGACCTAAGGAAGAAAGGTCAATAACAAAGCAGCTGAAGATGGTTGATTCTGGGGCACTACATTGAAGAACTCAAGCACTCATGTCCAACAACCAAAAGCATCTTCTGGATTGTTAATTATATTCAAAACTGAGTATAGACAGATAAACAGAATTGATGCATTAAATGACCTACTTCTGCTCCTACATCGTATTGCTAGGTATGACTCCAACAAGGTTCGAGGAATAATGAATTTCAGTTATGAAGACAGATTAAAGACCGTTACCTGATGGATAAATGAGATCTGATTGAAGTATTCAAAGTCATGAGTAGATGCATTCTCTGTGGTAATATATCTGGCAAAATTCACTTGCCAAAATCCAGAATGCCGGAGGAACTCAGCAATACTGGCAAGCCCCAATCATGTTGAATGGCAGAGGAGACTCGACGGGATGAATGGCCTACTCCTGCTCTTACGTTTTATGGTATGTGAATCACAAAAAGCTAGCATGTAAGTACCGTAAGTGATTGGGAACACAAATAGAACATTACCACTTATTGTAAATGGAATAGACTATTAAAGTAAGGAACTGTTGCCACAGCTGTTCAGGACCTTAGTAAGGCCACAGCTGGAGTACTGTGTAAACTTTTTTCTCCTTACTTAAGGAAGGATATAATTAAATTAGAAGCAGTTTTGACAAGTTTCACTCAGTTTATTCCTGAGATAAAAGAGTCATCTTGTAAGGACAGGTTGAATGGAATTTAGAAGAACCAAAGGTGATATTATGAAAATATAACATTCTGACATGTCTTAATTGGGTGGATGCTGGAATGTTCACTGTGTGGACTTTGGAACTAGGGGACAGAGTTCAAAATTAAGTGGTCTCTCATAAAAGACAGAAATGAGAATGAATTTCTTCTTTTAGAGGGTCATTAGATTTTGGAATCTTCCTTCTCCTAAAATTCAAGAGCAGGGATTTAGCGCTGAGGCTGTATATGGGTCTGGTCGGACTGCATTTGGAATATTGAGATTAATTTTGGGCCCTGCTTCTAATCAAGGATGTGCTGGCATTGGAGGGAGTCCAGAGGAGGTTTACAAGAATGATCCTTGGGATGAAGGGCTTGTTATATGACGAACAGTTGAGGATTCTGGGTCTGTATTCAATATAGCTTAGAAGGATGAGGGGGATCTGATTGAAACTTACAGAATATGAAAAGCCTGGATGGAGTGGACATGGAGAAGATGCTTTCCCTAGGAGAGATCAGGACCCAAGGGCATAGCCTCAGAGAGAAAGGACAACCCTTTAGAACTGAGGTGAGGTAAATTTCTTCAGCCAGAGAGTGGTGGATCTGTGGAAGTCACTGTTGCAAAAGGCCATGGAGGTCAAGTCGTTGCGTGTATTTAAGGCAGGGATAGATAGTTTTTAAAGGGGATCCAGGGTTATGGGGAGAAGGCAGGAGAATGGGGCTGAGAAGTATATCAACCATGATTGAATAGCAGAGCAGATTCAAAGGGCTGATTGACCTAATTCTACTCCTATATCTTATGGAAACCGAGGGTTATGAAGTGGGGCAGGCGGGAAAAATGGATTTAAAGCCACAATCAGATCAGCCATGATTTAAAACCATTATAAAAGGAAGCTTGAGGGGCTTAATGGTCTACTTCTGTTTCTATGTCTTATGAACATCTGTGGAGTGAGAAACAGGGCTAACATTTTGCCTCTGATGTGACTTTTCTTCAGAATAGTCCACTTGCCAACCTTTGAGCACTCTCCTCTCGTGCAATATAAATGTTGATTTTGCCCTTGAATTCATATTCTTGCAAAATGTACAGATAAATGCAAGATTAAAAACCTTCCACAAAATGCAGTGGTCAATGTTTTGGCTATCCATCGAGAGTCTATATGTACATTACTCAACTTCTAATGTATGATCATACACTGAAGGAGGTGATAGAACTAAAAAGAATAAAAAGACACTTTAGAGTGGCTTTCATGATTATAAATGTCTCACAGTATTTTACAAGCTGTGAAGTACTTTTGAAGTATAGCCACTGCTGCTTTGCAGGAAATGTAACAGCTAATTTGTAGACTAAGACCCCCAAACAGCACTGCTATAATTACTACACCTTTTTGTTTTTAAAAAAAATGGTGATTGAAGGGCAAATACTGGCAAGGAAACTGGTAACAATATTCCCATTCTTCTTCAAAATTGTGCCACGTTGCTGGCATCCAACTTAATTGGTTTTTCATGTTGGGATGTGTGGTAGATACACCATTGAATATATATGGCAATCTCTACATTATTGAGCTTTGTTTTCACCAATAAGCATCAATAAAAACAATGTTTATTATGATCTAGTGCCACAGAAAGAGGCAACAGTTCAGAATTTCCAATACTGTGTAAATGGTATAATAAACGGCAGAATGATTAAGACAGAAAAAAAGTGACCCGACTTTATTCTGAAAGTATTGCCAGCTTTTCACTGCCCAAAAATTCTTTACGTCAACTGTAAAATGTAGGACACTAACAAATACACCAAACCAAAATGTTCACATAATGTCTTAAGTAACCATGTTTCACTCGTCTTTCTTTTGAGATCATCACAAAATTAAAAATCTCGCTCACCTGAAAGAATACGGAGAACAGTGCATCAGTGGCAAAAAACTTCCTATAAAACATTGCAACATACAAATGCAAAGCAGAAACGTTGAGGCATTCTTGGATGTCAATACAAACATTGATGTGAAACAATGCTGATTTACACCGTCACATTTCCTTAGGCTTAAGTCAGCCAAATAAAAGCATGGCTAGTACAACAACAAAAAAACCAGAAAAAGTTCATAATTGTCTTAAATGATTGTGTCCAGTTAGTTTACATATATGTAACAATTATAGAATATACATACAGTATATAAAACCTAGATTTTAATAAATTACATAAGGCAACTTTCCAAAGGTTAAGACTTTTTCAACGCAATACACTTAATATACAAGAATTAATATGTTTGCTTTAACGTAACTTAGTGTCTTGTGTAAAAGGTAATGTAAACAAAAGTATATATGCAAAATGATCATATAAATAATAAACTGAAGCACAAATTAAAAAGGTAATATTGTTCCAATTCACATTTTAAGACAGTCCCTAATGAGAACATCATTCTGGTCACTGACTAGACTACATGTATCAATATAGAGTGAAGACTACAAGTTTTGCACTTTGAAAGTCTCTGTTTATCATACACAGACAAAACATTAATATGGAAACATTTCAACATTTTGTACATTAAGGAACATACTTTGTGGCTTGTTTGTGCAGTTCTTAAGGATTGCTATAGTAAGTTTTGATTGCACAATTAAGAATGGTAGCAGAGGATGCAAAGCTTGTAAGACTTTGGATGATTACAGAAAAAAATCTATAAAACTATCATTTTCTATTGCCATCAAGTATGGCTACATATTATAATATGCTATATATTTTAGCAATTATCTAATTTTACTGAGTAAATATACATTTTTACTTGTATATTACTTTAGAATTTAAAATCAACTATTTAAAACTCAATATCAATACCTCAGACTAACTGCTTCAGCTTTTGTTAGAAAGCTAGGGTAGTTTTAGAAATATTTAAAAAATTGCAAGACATATGTTGATATACAGCTACCTAGAGCAGGGTCATTCAATATTTTCACATGTTGGTGGTGGAGGAGGAGGCACATTCTCTGACTTGGGGAGGATTGGTGAACAAATTTCAGAATAAGCTTCAGGATACTATAACAGTAAACAAAATTTTCAGAAAACAAATGATCATTTAAATGAGTAACTAATAAAAAGGACCACCAAAATGTGCCATACTGCAGGACTGACTAATAAAACCTTTTGTTCTGCCTTTTCAGTTAAGCAAAGCTAGAGAGAGAGAGAAAAAAAAGAACATGCCCCAAGTTCTGGTCAATGGATGGGGACAAGGGGCTGGATTTAACTAACACTGACCCTTGTTCACCTCTGGTGGAGCACATACAAAGTTGGCCATGGTGGAATCTTTACGAAATTGATTGTAGATTGCTGCTTTGAGGATAGATTTTTGCAAGCTGTGTTCAGCTCAGTCTCAACTACCAATCCGAACAGCACACTCAATTACCAAAAACCCCATAATCCTACTGCACTCTCATTCTTCCCTGACTGCCTGCCCACTCTCAAACCCATCCTCGCTCCCACAACGATAGACACGCTCATTCTCCCTAACTTCTGGCAGCTCCTCTGGCTCTCATCCTAAACTACCCACCCACTCCCATCTCTTCCAAGCCAGCGCCTCCCTGAAAACCTCTTGAGCCTTAACCCCATGAAGTCACCAGGCCTCGAGTTGAAGGAAACTGATTATATTGCACAGCTCCTCCAAACAGACGACTTATCACTGGAAGCCAATGCTAATAGGCTCACCACTGAACCAGTTAACAGCAAACACGGAGAGAACCAGACTTTGAACGGAGCAATGACTCCTTGCAAAATCTTGCAGTTAAATTTCCCTGAGCAGCTTGATGAATAGGACCTCTCAGTGGGCTGCAATGCGGCCTGTAGGCCATGTGTTGAAGAAGCTTGACCTCGAGGAACTTAGATTGCACCTTGAGGTGAAGTTTAATGGGTCAAAGTTGTGTTTCTGGGTTGTATCATGGCATGCTTCCCTCAATTTAGAAAAATAAAACATTTTTCAATATGTGAAAAGGTAACTTGGTAGATTAACACCAGAATTTCAGGCAATTGGCCTTTACACAAAATAGGCCTCTCTATTTTCAAAGTCTGGCGGAATGCGTTTTGATCGTAATCTTTGAAATGTCAGTTTCTTTTCTCCTTGGCTTTCTTTGGCTGGACTTGGTGGATTTGCCATTTTCTTTGCTGAATCATTTACAATATCTTCTATAGGATTAAGTGTTCCATTCCCTCCTTTTGCAGAATCAGAAGAATCAATTAACGCTGCAATAGGTTTGGGCAAAGAGTCTCCAGCATGCCTGATCGTATTAGGAGGTTTGTAAAAAGTGTCAGGTGGTGGCTGCAAGGTTCTTGGAGGACGAAATACAAAAATGGCGGGAGACTCTAATGAATTCCCATCAGTCTTAGTGGTCCTTATTGGCTTCGCAGTCACCGCATATGGCTTATTAGGGAGTAAACTACCTGCAAAGCTATTGCCAGTACTATGGTTAAGGGGTGGTGAGAAAAAATTGTCATTGGTTTTGTTCTCTGGAGCAACATTTGCCATAATCATAGCTGTCTTCTGAGTTACATCGTAAAATTTGTACTGTTTGTCCCATGTTCTACGTAATGATTGGGTATCATAGTATGAATGCCTGCAGCATGTAGGTGGGCGAGATGGAATTTTCATCTCTGATATTTCCTCAATAATAGAATCCTTTTCACTGTTTGTATTGTTGCATTCTTTTGAAGTTTTGTTATTCAGGGAGTAAGAAATCATAGCTTCAGGAACAGGCAAACTTGCAGGTCTTGGAATAACTGGTTTCAATCTGGGAGGTCGCATATTGACTTTAATAGGTTGTTGACTAGGTTTCTCAAACGATGCCAACTTGTTGAACTTGTGCACATCTGCTTTTTGTGGATTTTGTAGGCTTTTCAGCAATTCAACAGGATCTTCTGCATTGAAAGAGACATTAATACCTCAACTGTTATATAATTTAGACAGTACAAGTATTCATAGCAGTGATTTCATAGAAGCTTAAGCTAAATAAGTATGTGCACGATTTTAATGATTAACAATCATGAATCAGAGTCTACTTTTTTTTTTAGAATGACAAGCTAAAAGTTGTTCCTTCGTTACGGTGCTAGGTGGATCAAAAGTGCTCAGGTCTCACAAGTGGGGCTTGAACCTACAATGTTACTGCGTCAAGCCTGACGCACATTTAGCATCTGGCTTTCTTGAAGTATTGCATAATAACTGTGAAACAATCTTCTCACAAACATGACAGCAACGTTACTGCAGTTTGATGTTACTGTTCTCGATTTAGAATTTTCTCAGTAATCAAATTAATTTGAAAATACTGAGTTGCAATACCTACTTTTACTTAACTGCTAAAATCTTAAAAGCAGTCTCCATGCTTTTACGCATGAACAATAAATAATGCTCAGCATTTCCAATATTTTCTAGCATCTTCAATATTTTGCTTTTGCACAACGTTTAAAAATACATGTCAAAATACAAACCTGATTCACTGCATTTTCTGTTGCATTTTCGATCCTTCTCCTCATTTAGGATATCATTGGAAGCTACTGTTTCTGAAGACTCCTTTTCATTTCCTGTTAATCCAAAACCCTGCCAACAAAATATATTACTCTTACTTTTGCAAATTAGTGTGGTATTAATACATTAATTAAAAAGAAAACTGCATCTGCAACAAGAGTGACCTTGGTGTGCATATCCACCAGCATCTTAAGGTAGCAGGATCAAAAACAAAG